TGGTGCTTTGGTTTGGACTGGTTTGAAAGAGAGATATGGTAGCGTTAGGCTTTTTTTTAGTTGTAAGGTGGTGATAGAATTAATTTTATCGCCCCCAATAATTGAGTTTCTCCTGTTGATGTGCTGATTTCGAACGATTTGTGATAGAAGAATAGTTCCGACCTGGGCATATACTTCTACTCACAAGAGTTGTCGAGATGTCAGTTGAGAAGCAAAAAACTTGGATGAGTATTATATAGAGCTCAAGAAGTTCCTTGATGAACTTTGGAATATTTTATGATCACATAAGATCTGCAGAAGATGCAAAGATAGGGAGAGCAACTGAAGATTCTAACATTTCTTGGAGTTCTCCCGCAGGAGTATGCAACGGCAAGATCCCAAGTGGTCACTCTTGCAGGCACAAGTTCACTCTCGGCACATACATGTCACTTTCTATATGATACTTTTCCTAAATTTTCTTAGAAAGAAGTAAAAGAGAAATTGGGTTTGGTTTCACGATAGAGGAGCAAACAATACTTATTCTAGAATTCGTGAAGGAAGATTTCGGAATACTTGCGCCGGAGGCCACTTTGGAGGTCGAGGTTCTGCACCTTAGATTTGAAAATCATGAAAGCGATACGCCATTTTGTACAGATATGTCAACCATTTATATCCATACTTGAAGATTAGTTGAAGAATAAATCATCAGGATCTAACTCATATGATCTCTGTTGTCATGTCCGGTGTCACAGAATAAAAACATGGGAACACATATCCTGGTCCGTAGTATATGCGTAAGAACAAAACTATAATCTTATGCATATACGGGGTGGCAAATGGGTCGGGTCAGGTCAACTATGATCCGACCCATGTAAGCTTGACCCGACCCAATCTGTTTATTAGACTAGTTACCCATACCTGACCCATGTGATGGGTCCAACTATTCACACTCCCAAACAGTAACTTTGGGGTGTGTGAGGACTAAATTGCCCTTCTCCCACCGGACAGCCAATCCGGTGGGTAATTAATTTTTCTGTCTTTTTTTTGTCAACAAAAGGGCATTTTCGACAATCCAACTCCCAAAATTACTGTTTGGGAGTGGATATAGCAAATGTGCCATGTGATTCGTTTATTACTCTCTCCAACATTCTAAAGACGACCCTTTTGGTTTCCTCATAAATTTGTCAGGTAAAATTAGAGAAATGCCTCATAAACAGTTGTGCTTTTTGTTTTGAACTTATCACAAATATCCAAGTGTAAAAAAATTTTGCAATTTGACTCTGCATAAAAATGAAGTTCTTTAACTCCTATTTCAAATTCCTTATTTCTTATATGTGACTCAGAAAAGGTGCAAGAATCCAAAATAAATAAATATAAATCAATGATAATACTTAAAATAGCATTTTTCTTGTTAGATTTTTTTTCTTTTTATTATTCCAGATTAATGATAAGCAAATTGATGACAAATTTTACCTAAAGTAAGAGTATAGTAAAAAAAAATCAATTTGATCTTATCTTCATTGAATTTTTTTAAAAGAAACTATTCAATTGACTAAAGAAATCAAGTATATATCTAGTGTTCTAAACATGGAGAATCAACAAAATTAAGAACTTTTTAGGGTTCCGCGATTTGATCCGGGGGCTTCAAGTTCTAATTCTCAATTATCGAGAGATTTTGTGAGGGTTCTGCATTTCTATCCAGGGGCTTTAACTTCCAACTCACAAGTTTTGAGATTGTATCGAAATTTTGTTGCGGAATCAAATCTCGCAAGGCCTTCAGCCCATTCTAGGGTTTTGAATTTTGATTAGGGGGTTTTGTCATCAAATTCACAATTTTCTATGGCCCAATCTAATTTGTTTGCTGGATCTACTATTGTTCAGCCAATTCTATAGCCTAACCTAGGGTTTCAGCTTAACCTAGGGTTTTGTTCATGCAATCAATGGTTGGAATTGATCCTTCTTATAGATATGAGGAAGAATTAATGGCGGATATTAACGAGGAGATCGGGTTAAAGTGGTGAGTGAAAACCTTAGTATGCCTCCTTTGGGTAGGAGATCTTCTCCTCGCTCTTCGTCTCCTCTCATATCTAGGTTTTTTGTAGAAATTGTTCATCAACATAATTTGTGCTTTCGGTGCGGTGGAAATTTTCACATGATACATGACTGTAGAAATCTGATAGTCTGCTTTCGGTGTGGGAGAAATGCTAAAAATGTGAAAAATTGCAGAGTTTGGATTAGTGATAATGGTAGAGGTAGAGCTCAAGGCATAGATAGTGATGGTGGTGGCTAGAGTGCTAGGCGTGGTGGTCATGGTGGTCTTGGGGGTGGTAGATCTCAAAAGACTAAGGGGCTGTTTGGATTGATTTTTTAGATATGTAAAAAGAGAGAAAGCTGCCAAAAATGTCAGCTTTTTGGCAGCTTTCCCCCAAAATCACCTTTTATAGAGGTGATTTTGGGGGAAAGCTGCCAAAAAGCTGACATTTTTGGCAGCTTTCCCCTCTTTTACCTATCCAAAAAATCAATCCAAACAGCCCCTAATCTCAAGGAGTCTGTCGAGGTGGTGGACCTCAGAATCCTTGATAATGGTGTCGTGAAGCTCCTTCTCAACCATGGATGATTGGTCCTGATTCAAACCCTAAGGGGCTGTTTGGAAAGGGGTTTTTTAGGGGGAAAGGGCTGGAAAGCCTGCTAAAAGCTTGCCAAAAGCTGCACTTTTGCCAGGCTTTCCCCCTACCCAAATCACAAACAAACAGTCCCTAATTCTAAAATTAGAATTTCAAGAAAGGACAAGGGCAAACACTTCATAATTTAATGAAGAAGATGAGATCCAATTGCAAGAAACTGTTGAGAAATGTTTTCAGAAAAAGTTCCTCAAGATTTTGGAGATTTGATAGCTGAAGGAAGAGTTTCGGGTGATCGTCTGTATTTCTCCTTTGGTTGTTTGAGTTTAACTATTACGGCAAATTCAGAGCTTCAAAATTTTCATAATTATGCCATTATTCATTTTATTGAAGGAGAGACTATCTCTTTGGAGAAATTGGAATCAAAGAGATGTTGGAATCAAACTTGAGGGAATTTTTTCCCTGAAAATAAATATTGGGATGTTAAGCTTCGTTTGGATACTATAGTGTTTTACTACTTGTGTTTTTATAAAAAACACCATAGTGTTGTGTTTTTTCCTTAAAATGTTTTCAAAACACGATATTAAGTATTTTTGGTCAACACTAGTTTGACTCATTATAACATTAGTATTAAACATATTATTAATATATTATATATCAATTATAATAAAATATATTATAAATAAAATATTATAATATTTAGTTTACATTATTATAGTATTATAAGTATTACATATAATGCAATATAATATTATATAATGCATTATTATATTATATTATACTTTAATGAGTTATATTATTTTATAATTATTATTATATTATAATTATTACATATTATTTTTAAATAATTATATATTTAATTATTTTGGTATATCAATTTGTTATTGTCTATATTATATTACTATTTTTATAATAATGTTATTTTATTATAATATAATGTTATATATTATTAATATAATATAATATTATAATGTTTTATTCATATAATATATATTATTAATAATGTTATTATTACTATTATGTTATAATAATTAAAAATTATAATTATTTTATATTTATAATATTGTATATTATACTTATATTTATAATATGTTATTTTATTATAATATAAATTATCTATTTGATTATTTTAATATAATATTATAATATATTCATATAATTATAATTTATTAATAAGTTAATATTTATGTATTACTACGTATGTTATTATAAAATTAAAAGATTATAGAATATTTTTTATATTATAGTTTTTATATGTTCGAGGGTTAATTAATAGTACTTTAATAAATATATTAGTATTCTATGAATATCAAATATTATTTTATATTATGAATATATTATTTTTACATTAAACATTTGTTTAGATAGATAGTGTGATGTAAATATTTACTTTATAATAAATTATATTATTTTATTACAAGTATAATAATATTTAATATATTAATATACATTTACCTATACATATGTTATTATATATATATTTATACTTTTTATTTATTAGTTAAA